CAAAAATCAAAAGGTTTTTCGTTTGAAAGTGATATAACAGTCATGGGATCACCAAGATATAGGCCTGTCTTGGGTGTAACTGCAATAAGTTGCCCAAAGACTACATCCAAGAAAGTTCTGAAAAAGCAGGTGCACGAAAAACCCCAACCTTATTACAATGATAAGTGAGAAATAGCTTTCAAAAAAGATCTAATTCCCCTGCCTTGCATAAAGAAGTTGTTTTAGTAATAGTTTTCTACAAGTGAAAATGAAACAGCAGTATTGAGAGACGAAGTTGTGTCTGAGTCTTGCCCTTCTAAGATGAAGAGAGTTCAAGGAACTTGAAGTGACGGATGTACAGATCATCTCAAACTTCACTCTGGGACTGGGCTTTGGCCTCTTCCCAGGGTTGGCCTTTTTTCAGTGTTCTTATTTGCCTCCAGTTGTGATCATGAGCTTGAAACTTCGCTGCATCAGAAAATGTTTCCCAAAGTAAAGTGTGCCACTAAGTCTTCTGTTATTGTCACAAGACTGTCATGATGCACAAAGTATAGCATGAGCACAATGCAAATGACCTCACTGGGAGGATCTGGCATCTCTGAGGAGGTAAGTGACTAGAAAGGTCACAGCCCTAACTGTGGCAGTTCTGTTTCGAGGGGACCGTTCTGAACAAAGGGCAACAAGAACGCACAGCATATCTGAGTGTCAGTGGCATTTAGTGTATGAGGCGCTCCAGCCACACTCATTCATTAGGTTTACATCACCGCTGCCCTTCAGAACGCCTTGGCTCAAATGGTCCTCTGTAGAAAGGCAGCTTTCACCCACGCCAGAAAGAGAAGGAGAGAGGGTGACCTGCAGCTCTTTAAACAAATGGGTTTGTTTTTAGATCACTCAAGTGACTGCTGGTGATCACTATTTACTGCCAACTAGAGAAAATAACCAAATTCCTATTGAACTAAAACACGATTACTGAACCTTTATGCTTAGTACAGATAAACTAAGCATTCATCCAAAAAAAAAAAAAGCTCTTCTCTAAAGAGAGGCATTTAATTCCTTCGACTCAGCCAATGGGGAAATGCAGTTAATTCAGAGGCACCTTGCACAAATGCTTTGAGACAGAGATTTTGAAGGAAGAGGCTGTTCCTCTTGCAGCTGTGACTTTTAGGCAGGATTATTACTGCTACAAATAACACCATTATCAGTTACTGTGAGGCGGAACAACACAGACTTCTTTTTTTTTTTTTGAGTGGGAGTCTCACTCTGTCACCCAGGCTGGAGCGCAGTGGCATGCTCATGGCCACTCTGGCGTCAACCTGTTGGGCTCAGGCGATCCTTCCACCTCAGCCTTCCAAGTAGCCAGAACTACAGGTGCACACTACCACACGTGGCTAATTTTTGATTTATTGTAGAGATAAGGTCTCACCAAGTTGCCCAGGCTGGTCTCAAACCTGCGGGCTCAGGCAATCCACTCACCTCAGCCTCCCAAAGTGCTGGGATTACAGGCTGAACCACTGAGCCTGGCCAACATGAACTTCTAAGCCTTCTTTTTTCGCCTCTCTACTTTCATCACCTACTGCTTCCAACAGTCTGTTTCCTCAGTTTAGATAAACTGAGGCAGGAAAAGAAAAATAAATCCCAACTGTCCTTTTGAAAAACAGCAGTTTTGATAAATGCTGGATGATGTGAGATTAAAAATGAAAGAAGGAAAGCTCGGACATCATTGGTGGGTACCACTGTTTACCAGTCACCCTGTTCATCCTTCCTGCTGTATTACTTTCACGTGATACCCTATATACATGCCATGACAATGCTAAAATTCAGATCTATCACTAGGGCTAGATCACTCAGGAGTACAACACCACAAATGAAGCATGTGTTCTACCATCACAGAAAAGAGACAGTCTTCATCATGAAGCCAGTACATCTGCTCTTTCATGGATGTTCTGTGTCACAGGAGTCAGCATTACCATTACCTCACTCTCTTTCTTTCCCAGGTGGGGAAGAGACCTGTCTGGAAGCTGCCCACCCAGCCATACTCAGGCAACATCATTCAGATGCCTCCCCTGCTTCTGCCTTGTCTGTCTTGGGCCCAGTGTTCCTACCATAGCAGCAATCTATGACTTCACAGAAATCAAAATCACATGTCCCTTTGGGTTTGACTGGAGTCATACCTAACAAAGTCATTGGGAGGGCACTGGCTGATACTTTGGGAAGTGGTCACTATTTTACACATAGATGTCTTTTGCCTTTTGTTTGCTGCTACGAAATGAAACAATGACTTACACTAGACAGACCTTACTGAACTAAAGAGGATCTTGCCAGCCTTAAATGATAAGGCCCACTTCCAAGCACATATGGGTATTCAAATAAACACTGTTGACAATTATGACATACATTCTCAGTGAGCAGGAAAACCTTCCTAGCTGGCAGGAACCAGCTGCTGAGTTACCTGGCCAGTATTAGTAGACAAGGGCGGGTCAGCAGTATTTTCTGGTGGGAAGAAGGTTACTTATATCAATAAACTCAACTGTTTTATTCATAAAAGAAGAATAAGCCATCTTCATAATATAAAAGTCTCAAGTTGTACTCGTGGGCTCAAGTTTTGCACTGGCGCCCTTGCTATCTAGTAAATTCTACCCATCTTGGCTTAACTTTCAGGGTTCTACATTTTAGAGTTATAACTCCCCAGTCCCGTTTCATCTTACTTCTTGCTCTCATAAAGGATTCATGTTCTAAGTCATAGAGTGAGTTAGGAATTCCTTAATGCTGCCCATTATGGCTTCTCTCATGTTTTCTTTTCCCATTGGAAACTTCTCAATCTTCGTCTGTCAAAATTATTCCAAACTGTGCTTTTTTTTTTATTTGGGGCGTCACTCTGTCACCTAGCTTGGAGTACAGTGTCACGATCATAGCTCACTGCAACCTTGACCCTCTTGGGCTCAGGTGATCCTTCTGCCTCAGCCTCTTGAGGAGCTGGGACTACAGGTATGCACCACCATGCCTGGCTAATTTGTGTGTGTGTGTGTGTAGAGATGAGGTCTTGCTATGTTGCCCAGGTTGGTCTGTACTCCTGGGCTCAAGCAATCCTCCCACCTTGGCCACGCCCAACGTGTGATGGTTAATTTTACCTGTCAACTTGACTGGGTCACAGGGTACCCAACTATGTGATTAACCATTATTTCTGGGTATGTCTGTGAGGATGTTTCTGGAGAAGATTAGCATTTGAATCAGTGGACTCACTAAAGCAGATATTTTGCCCCAGCAGGGTGGGCCTCATTCAATCCATTAAAGGCATGAATAGAACAAAAGGAAGAAAAAGGAAGAATTCTCCCTTTTCTTCCGCTTGAATGCTTGAGCTGAGGTTCTGGTCTTCTCCTACCTTTGGATTGAGATCTACACCATTGTCCCTGTGGTTCTTGGGCCTGCAGACTCACACTGAATTACACCATGGGTTCTCCAGTTTGCAGATGGCAGATGGTCGGACTTCTCTGCTTCCCTAATTGCATGAGGCAATTCCTCATATTTAATTTCTTCCTATATATATATGTATTCAATTAGCTGTTTCTCTGAAGAACCCTGACCAACACACAAGCCCAGATCATATACCACCTTTGCTGGGAAAGGCCATCTGCCACAGGCCCCAAGTATCTTTGCACATCCTCTCTGAGCATGTCAAACCATGAATGTGACTCTGAGCCATTCATGTTGGCACTGAAATAGGTCAAGGTGGCCACAGCAAAACTACTGTGAAACAGCACAGAGAACGGACTTGTTTGCTGCTTGCTACACAAGGTGCTGAGTCCTTGGCTCTGTGACCCTTGGCCATGCAACTCACAATCTAGGCCCATCACATTGCCCCATGGGACTTTAGAGCAGGGAACTTGTGCCACCTGGCTGATGGATGCTGTGCTGTGTGTGATGCTGTGACAAACTATCTTACTCTTGTCCACTGTCTCATGTCTAATTTTGGCTCCTATGCAGCTGTGCCAGGTCAACCTTTCCTTTGTCCTCCGCTTACCCTTTGCCATTCTCTATGAGGTTGACAATCTTCTTCAAAAAATAATCCCAGGCCGGGCTCAGTGGCTCAGTTTGTAATCCCAGCACTCTGGGAGGCTGAGGTGAGTGGATTGCCTGAGCCCATGGATTCGAGACCAGCCCTGGCAACTTGGCAAAACCTCGTCTCTACAATAAATCAAAAAAATTAGCTGAGCATGGTAGTGCACACCTGTAGTTCTGGCTACTTGGAAGGCTGAGGCGGAAGGATCGCCAGAGTCCAGCAGGTTTATGGTGGGATGGCCATGTGTGTGCCACTGCATTACAGCCTGGGCGACGGAATGAGACTCCAACTAAAAAATAATAATAATCCCCTGTAATTTAGAGGCTGTGAATTGCCAGAATGCTAAACCCTGTAGCTCCCTGACCTCATGCTATCTGGATAGTCCACACTGTCTTCCTGTAGGAGACTAAATTCCCGGAATGCATGAATCAGGTGATAATAGAGGATGAGTTTTAAACTTATTTACTGAATAAATGAGTGTATCATAAAAGTTCCAAAAGATACCTTAGAATTGTGCAACTATTCAGTCACCTCTAATTTTTTTTTGATTTGGAGTCTCACTCTGTCACCCAGGCTGGAATACAGAGGCATGATCCTGGGCTCAGGTAATCCTTTCACCTCGGTCTCCTGAGTAACTGGGACAACAGGCATGTACCACCACATCCAGTTAATTTTTAATTTTTTGTAGAGACTAGGTCTCACTATGTCTTGAACTCCTAAGTCAAGTAATCCTCTCACCTCAGCCTCCCACACAGTGCTAGGATTATAAGCGTGAGCCATGGTGCCCGGCCTACTTTTTAACTACACTGTTAATATCCCACTGATGGCCTGTTTATGTCCCAAGATGGTTTGCCTAACTCAATCATACCAAGGCTTTTCACAACAAAATGAAAAGTTCTCAAACAGAACTAAGCCAGCAAGTCAAAAGGAGACAATGCATCAACTCCTTTAGGGTCAGACTTACGGAAGTCACCATACTCTGCCACACGTGAGATATCCTGTAGCCCACCAGTTCCCCATCCTGCTGCTTAATTGGAGGCTTCATCCATCTGATGTCCACTTTATCACTAGATTCATTCAGAAACACAGTGACGTTGAATGGTGCTACTGATGGGGCTACAAAAGAAAGAAGAGAGAAGAATTAAGAGTCACAAAGAAAAGCACATACGGATCTATTCTCGTCTTGGTGTTCAAATGCTCTATGAAAGCACTCAAATAAGACTGAGACTTACAGCAGATGCTTACCCTCTATTCGATTAAAGACCACTGAGCTATCACATGAGTTTTAACAAGTAAGCCCTTTTAGGCTACTGAAGCCTCACGCTGCACCTCTGAAGTTGAAAATGCCATGGGCAGCCAAGGTAAAACAACAAACAAGAGGAAGGCAGAGAAACAGGCAGATGGTACTCTGGACTCCTGGGGAAGCAAAGCAGGCACAACTCAAACATCGTTCTCCAATGGAAACCTTTGGGGTAGAAAGTCAACATGGCTGCCTGGAGATCAGCTCTGTGGCATCTGAGACATGCAAAACTGGAAACACTGCTGAGTTCAGATTGAAGCCACTACTTTAAAGTCCAGAGGCAGGTTAGAACAGAGCTAATCAGTCAAGACATTAAAAAATGTCTGTATATTTGTGTGTGCGTATGCACGCACACATGCGTGTATATGTGAATGTATACAATAACTTGGGAAACAAGTCAAGATCATTATTACAGTCTTTTTTTGGGAGACAGGAACTTGAATATATCTACTAACGTGGAAAATAATATGCTATTTGACCAAGTATTGTATTTCCAGAAATTTAACATGTAGGTGGTACTATATTCATTACAGTATAAGAGTGACAAAAAGGAATAAACGTAATGCCATAAATTTTGATACATTTAATGGAATGCTTACTACCCAGCCACTGAAAATAATTAGTATAGCATGTACTATTAATATGCAACAATATCCAAGAGGGGAAATCAAATTGCTAAAAAGTAAAAACTGATACATCTTAGAAATATAAATCTTTTATATATAGAAGGAATAAGAACAAGTAGAATTTTATGCACCAAACTTGCCTGTAGTTGTGATTAGGGGAGACTAAATTATATTTTTCTGATATGTATGAAACGAAAACAAAAAGATCCCATAACCCTTTTTGTCTCTGCTAATTCCAGGAGCAGTAATCACCAAGTTAAAACACATTTCAGCATAGGAAATGTCACATAGCTAAAGCTGCCTATGAAATCAATCACACACTTTCAAATCTATTGTAGAATTTATGGATAAACATGACCCTCTCAATATGTCTTTATGTCTGCCTCCTCCTCAAGTCCCTCTGTGATGACAGTAAGGAATTTTAAAAAGATTTAAACTCACAAGGTAAAGAAGAGTCAACAGTAGAAGAAAATTTCAACATATATTTGAAAGCTGAAAAAGAGATGAAGACAGTATAATTAACTCAGCTAGCCAGTTCTCCCCATAGTTCGCTCTGTCTTCCTGTAGCACCACAGAGAGGCTCAGAAGCCATGGGCCCAGGTACTATACTATAGTGAGGTCTGAAATGAAAAAGATCGACTGAAAGTTTGATTAAGAAGCAGTTGCTCTCAAGATTCCTCTACCCCATCCCTACACACCTGGCAAGTGTTCTCTTAAATACCCACAAGAGACAAGGTGGGTTATACGCCAAACTGAAAAGCCACTGAACTTAGGGCACCAGCAGAATGGAGGCATGGTGAGGGGCCAAACTGAAAACTGAAGAAATAAGTGAAAAATTGTACACTAAATGATCCCTCCTTCCCCACCCTGGGACAGGAGACAGTAGGCTTCCTTTCCAGAGGAAGTGAGTGGCTACAGAAGAAAGAAACCAGTTTTGATATTTGGGGGTATCTAAACCAAAGCACTTATGTCAGTGCCCAATCACCTGACAGTGAAGTCTACAAGCCCTGGCCCTGTTTACAGATTTCCAATCAAATTGTTGGTACTTCACTCTTCAATAGGAGAAAACAGTAGAAAATCAGCAGCTGTCAGGGGATGCCTTCCTTCTTTATGAATGTCAAGGACCAAACAAACACACAGAACAGAGGGCTCAGAGAAGACAAAGTACAGAAAACTAGAGAAAACTAAAACACAAAAATAATTAATATACTCAAAGATAAAAAATAGTTCTCATGATTGAGAAATGAAAAAAATTGTCAATGAAAAAGAAAACTTGAAATTAGCAATATGATAAGTAAACAAAATATTTAATAGAAGAGCTGGAAGATAAATTCACTACATCCTCAAAAAAAGCAGAATAAAAAGGCAAGAAAAGGCTGGGCACAGGGCTCATGCCTGGAATCCAAACACTTTGGAAGGCCGAGGCAGACAGACTGCTTGAGGTCAGAAGTTTGAGACCAGCTTGGGCAACAAAGCGAAATGTCATCTCTATAAGAAAATCAATTTTAAAAAAGGCAAGACAAAAGGCCAATTTGAGAAAAGAAATTGAAGAAGTAATCAAAAGGTCCAACACTGTCTAACACAATTTCTGGAAAAGAGTAGCAAGTTTTCAAAGAAAAAAATGTAAACGGAAAAGTCTCAGAACCAAAGGATCTGCATTTCTAGATCAGAATACACCCATGATGACAAATGAAACAAATTCCATATCACAGTTCATCAAAGCACCGAGATTAAGGGGAAAATAAATTTCTAAAAACTAAAAAGCAGTTCACATAGAAAACTCAAGTATAAGAATTCTCCACAGCTAAAAAAAGTATAAGATACCTCTAAATTTTTGAGGGAAAATAAATTCCAACCTAAAATTCTACATTCAGAAAAACTGCTAATCCAATATGACATGCAAGTTTCCACAATCTTTACTTTTACACATACTCTCTTTAGAAGCTAACTGAGAATATGCTTTATGAAAACAAGTGAGAAAAATCAAGAAAGACAAATACCCAGGAGAAGGCAACAGAATCCCTAGGGTGACTCCAAGGGAAGATAGGAAAAAAATCACATGATAGAAATCAAGGTAACAGTACACAGACTCACATAGGGCCAGGGATAGTGCCTGTTCCCATCAATCAGACTGGAAAATCTAATGATTCAAGGAGTACTGGGTAGAACACACAGAATGGTCCTATCTCAGCAGTGAGTAATAACTGGCCCCAGACTGAGCATTATTCTAGTCTTACCTGATAAATCTGAAAAGCAAGACCCAAAAGGATTAAGCTGTTTTCACTAGCTTAACTATATCCCAAAACAAAACTCACTAACTCACCAGTTATAGAAATACAAGAATATCTAGCATCCAACAACATAAAATTCAATCAAAGATTGCCAGGTATGCAAAAAAAAAAAAAAAAAAAGGAAAATACTTCTACAGTAGAAATATAAATAAACCAATTGAAATTCCACAAATGTTAGAATTAGCAAACAAAGACATTAAAATAGTTATAGTATTCTGTATGGTCAATATAGCAGAGCCATGAAAAATATAAAAAGGAGACAAAAATTATAATGTGAGAGATAAAATATAAACTAGGGGCCAGGCGTCTCACGCCTATAATCACAGCACTTGGGATGCCGAGGTGGGAGGATCACTTGAGCCCAGAAGTTCAAGACCAACCAGATATGTTTTATATATTTATATATGTTTTCATTCACAGCTTCTGGCTCATAACTCCCATAGCCCTTGTTACAATCTTTCATTATAATGTTGGGTGCTTTAGGCCTCAGAAGCAGGCCTCAGGAAACACTCTCTGACCTTCTGTTTTTCTTTCACCTTCCCGAAGGCAGAACTCTAATCTCCCCGACAAGGAATGCTGATGAAATGAAGCTTCCATAAAAAATCTAAGAGGATTGGGTTTGGAGAGCTTCCAGCAGTTGAACACATGGAGGGTGCCACACATGGAGGTTCCTGGAGGGTGGCATGCCCAGGGAGGGCATGGAAGCTCCATGTACCTTCTCCATACCTCACCCTACCTATCTCTTCATCTGTATAAATCACTTGTACTTCTTTTGGAAAATCCTTTATGATAAACCAGTAAGTCTGTTTCCCTGAGTTCTGTGAACTGCTCCAGCAAATTAATCTTGTGATTATTGTCTGAGGGGGGAGGGGTAGTCTTGGGGATTAAGTCCTCAATCTGTGGGATCTGACACCATCTCCTGGTAGATAATGTCCGAATTGAACTGGAGGTCACCCAAGTGGTGTCCAAGGCAGAAATGACTGCTTGTCTGTTTGTGGAGTCACATATTTTGGAGTTGCAGAAGTCTTCTGTGTTGAATGTTGTTGTGTTAGCGTGAGAGCATTTTTACTTTTTCTGAGTTGGAGTTCTCTCTGTCACCCAGGCTGGAATGCAGTGGCATACTCATAGTCACTGAAGCCTCAACTTGCTGGGCTCAGGTAATCCTTCTGCCTCAGCCTTCCAAGGAGCTGGAACTAGATGCACACGCCACCACACCCAGCAAATTTTTTTATTTACTGTAGAGATGAGGTCTCATCAAGTTGCCCAGGCTGGTCTCAAACCTGTGGGCTCAGGCAATCCTCTCACCTCAGCCTCCTAAAGTGCTGGGATTATAGGTGTGAGCCATTGCACCCAGCTGAGAGCATGTTTTTAAAAGTGTGCTCGGCTAGGTGCCATGGTTCGTACCTGTAATCCCAGCACTTTGGGAGGCTGAGGCAGGAGGACTGCTTGAGCCCAGGAGTTCGAGATCAACCTAGGCAACATAGTGAGACCATGTCTTTACAAAAGATTTTTTAAAATTAGCTGGTCAAGGTGGCCCACACCTGTAGCCCCAGCTACTAGGGAAGCTGAGGTGGGAAAATCGCCTGAGCCCAGGAGGTCAAGGCTGTGGTGAGCTGTGACCGTGCCACTGACCTCTAGCCTTGGTGAGAGAGTGAGACCCCAACTAGAAAAAAAATTTTTTAAAGGTGTACTGCCATTATCTTCTGATGTAAGAGCAAATACGACCCCTACATACCAAATATAATTTCTATCACTGAATGCTTTTAAAATATAGAAGGAAAAAATATCTTCTTTCCCATTTTCATTGACCACTTCATTAAAAATTTCCTCTAAAGATAAAGTTCCAACAAAGAAAAGTTTAAACTCCCAATCTGGTCACTGGGAAGGGTTTGTTTAATCACATGCCCCCAGGAATTACCTCCTTCGGTCGTGCTGGCCAGAATCCAAGGGCTCACGGCAGACCAGCCTATTTCATTCAGGCAGGAAACGCCAATGCTGTAATTAGCCAGGGCCTGCAGCTGTTCAATCTGATACAGATGTGGTGAGGCAGAAGTGTTAAAAATCATGACTGAGTCGTTACTCAGCGGATCAACTTCCTTGACCTGAATGAAGAGCAAAGATGTGGACCAGGCATTAGTGAGGTGATGGGAATGTCAGACACAGGGCACGCATGCATTTAGTGCACGTGGCCCTTCCTCTTCCCTGAGGGGAAAGACCTGCTTCCCCTCCAGGCACATGTGCATGTCCCCACTGGCATGACTGTGTGTTACTCATGCTACTCGACCAACAACTGAGGACTTGAGGAAAATGCCTAAACGAGTGATCCTCACTGTGGCAGGTAATGGAGTACATAATTATAATATTATAATGATTATAGTTCATCTTATATTATAAAATAAAGCAGCCCCCTCATCTCTCAAAGCCACCTCAATTCTTCATTTCCTCTTTCAGCTGTTTCAAAACACTGTTTCACACAATATGCATCAGAGACAACAGATACCGCAGGAATCTGCCAAAACTTGAAATATTCACTATCTGGCCTTTAAAAAAAAATAGTTCCCAAATCCTGCGTTAGAAGATGAGTTTCTGGGATTGCTGTTTTCTTTTTATTATGCAACATGCTCTTGCCTTGATGGTAATTTTAGCGTCTTTTACTCTTGCTCTTTTTTACCTCAACAGAAATTCAACTCCAGAAGTACATATAGATAATGTATATTTTATAGCATTTTTTTTTTTTGGAGGGGGAGATATAGGGAAGGGTCGTTTACCCCTCATCCAGCAAACTTTTCTCCAAATCTCCTTTATTTCTATTTTTTTTAATTTTTAATTTTAAAGATGAGGGGTACAGTTTAGGGTTAGGTATACAAATGGTCATTGTACAGGTAAAGTTTGGACCTCGCTCTGATCCCCACACTGCCTGTTTGAGATCACGTACTCTTATTGATGAAATGTGCTCCCTTCCCCCTCCTCCCGGCAGTTTCCCATTACTGCCAATCCCTTTCTTATAGTATTATGATACTTTTTCAGGGTCCACTTATGAGTGAAAACATGTGTTACTCAGTTTTTTGTTTCTGCAATAGATCACTGAGTATTACAGACTCTAAGTCCATCCATGTTGTTGCGAAGTTCATAATTTTGTCCTTCTTTATGACTGTGTAACATTCCACTGTGTATATGTACCACATGTTTTTATCCAGCCAACTTTCAATGGGCAGCACAGTTGGTTCCATGTTTTTGCTATTGTGAATAATGCTGCAATAAACAGGCATATGCAGGTATCTTTTTCATAGAGTGATTTGAGTTCTTTGGGATATATTCCCAGAAGGGGGATTGCTGGGTCATTTGGAAGGGCAGTTTTTAGATCTTTTAGGAATCGTCACACTGTTTCCCATAGAGGCTGTAGTATTCAAATCTCCTTTAAGCACATTGTCTTATCTTTCCCTCCATAAACTCCACCAGACTCTTCATATATCTCTCTCCAAATCTCCGTATGAATAGGCAAGAAAGGACAGCATTTTCCTCAAGTCCCACAGCAAAATCTAGTGCCAGGCCAAACTTTCACCTTTTCCTGTAAGAATACCTCCGTTCTAGGAAAAGGGATAAGGAAAAGTTTGGAATTTTTTTCCCCCACTACATGCTTTTTCAAAATTTCTACAATGTGTAGAGCATACAAAATCAGAAAAGACTAAACAGTATTGGGTAAAACAGAAGCAACCAAAAACAACTTGAGAAAAAAATCTTCAACCCACAAAACTCCTTTTAATAATGGGTTTGCAATTACGGGTTATGGATCTACTGCTGTTATTTGAGGATAAGAGTGTTTGAAACTTAGGCCAAGGGGCTGCAAATAAATATTTTGGAATTCCAACCGTCCCCCCCACCCCCCGTGGATGCCATGAGGGCAGTGTGGGGGCTGAGTTTCACCTCTGACTCAGACCTCGTGGGTGACCATAAGGTACCATCTGGCCCGAGGAGCCACCAGAGGAGAAACAAGAAGCCATATGCTTATCTGGCTGTGAGCAGAAACTACTTTTTGTTTTTTCATTCTAGAGTTTGCACCTACTTCCTGGTGACCAACCATTAAAGCTAAGGTGGAGGAAGCCTCTGGCTCTCCGCCCCAGCCCATTTCCGGAGTCATGTGTGGAGCATTTCCAGGCACAGGGACACCCTTTGAGAGCACGTTCCCGGAGGAAGACGGAGTTACTATAACAGTCCTTCTCTGTGGTTCCTCAGGGAAAAGAGGGCATGAAATGGCAAGAAGTACGTGGGGGGCTTAAAAATAGAAATGGAGTATATGGCCCAAAAATGGGTGAAGAAAGGAACTAAGATCGGGATCAAAGGAAGTGAGAGGGTGTGTCCCGCTAGTGCATGGATCTGAATCTCATCCAGAACATTCATTTGTTACCAAGTCAGAGTTTAAAACTGTAATTTCACAAAACCATACTTGGTCTCTTCAAGATTGGGAAGGCACTGTTAATCCACAGAATATAAAATATGTCTTCTAGAGCTTATGCTGACTAACCCTGCTAGGACTGCCAGAGAAAAAGAAAAGATACCTGGTTGAATCTGAATTTAAGAAAAGCAACAAGTAATTTTTAAGCACAGGTAATGTCACAGGATTACTCATGTAATTTAACTGGGTGTCCCATATTCTTATTTGCTAAATCTGTCAACACTACCAGAGACGCAAAGGAGCATGGATGATTGGAGACTGAGTTAGCTGCGGGGGACAAGGAATAACCATATCCAGTATCACAGGATCCAAGATGGGTAAAAAGAGCCTGAAAGTTGGCTGTCCTAGGATAGTTTTTTACGTGTGCCATGGACACCCAAAGTCACAACAAAGAGAGAGAGAAGGTGAGAAGTTTGTGTGTGATCATCTTCCAAAGTCAGGAGTGACTTGGTGTTTTCATACTCTCCAACATTTCTACCCCACCTGCCCTCTGGAGGTGGAAGTGGCACTCTTCCTCAGTCTTCCTGAAGTTAACCATGCCGATGCAGGAAGATATCTATCTCATGTCCTTTTAGGCTCTTCAAACAGCTCAGCAACTTGGTAACAGTTTTTAAAATGGCTCGTCCATGCTTCAGTTATGTCCATATATAAATATCTACTTCCAGGGAAACAGGCCCTGGTTGTCTCTGACAGAGACCCAAAACACTTGAAGCAAAAACTGATAGAATTAAGGAAAGATATAGATATATAATTCAAGAATAAGAGTTAAGACCTTAATTCCCCTCTTTTATTTTATTTTAGAGTTAAAGTCTCGCTCTGTCACCCAGGCTGGAGTGCAGTGGCACGCTCACGGCCACTGCGGCCTTGACCTGCTGGGCTCAGGCGCTCCTTCTGCCTCAGTCTTCCAAGTAGCTGGAAGTACAGGCATGTGCCACCACATCCAGCTAATTTTTTAATTTATTGTAAGAGATGAGGTCTCGCCAAGTTGCCCAGACTGGTCTCAAACCCATGGGCTCAAGCAATCCTCTCACCTCAGTCTCCCAAAGTGCTGGGATTACAGGCCTGAGCCACCATGCCAGGCCCAATTTATACACAACTACTATGTAGAAGATTAACAGGTAACAAAGGAGTGAAGACTATAAACCAACAAGATCTAACCAACACAAACAGAATATTCCATCCAATGATAGCCGAATATACATTTTTCTCAGGTGCATATGGAGCATTCTTCACTATAGAACCTAAGCTATAAAACAAGCCTTCATAAGTTTAAAAGGAATGCAATCATTACTAGGTAATTCTCCAAACACCGTGGAATAACATTAGAAATCAGCAAATGAAGAAAATTTGAGAAATTCACAATTATATGGAAATTAACAAACACACTCCTCTGGTCATGCATGGTGTTTCATGCCTGCAACCCTAGTACTTCAGAAGGTTTCAGGCAGAAGAACTGAGGCCAAGAATTCAAGACCAGCTTAAGCAACAAAGTGAGATCCTCATCTCTACAATTTTTTTTTAATTAGCTGGGTGTGGTGGCACGTGCCTGTAGTCCCAGTTCGTGGGATACTGAGGTAGAAGGATCACCTGAACCCAGGAGGTTGAGGCTGCCATGAGCTGTGATCATCATGATCATGCCACTACATTCCAGCATAGGTGACAGAGTAAGACCCTGACTTTAGGGGACATTTTCTACTGACCTCAAATAATTAAAAAGGATTATCATGGAATACTATGTACTACAGTGTATATCTAAAATTAGATCACTTAGATGAAATGGTCACATTTCTAAAACACAGAAATATCTGGTTGTCAACCAAAACTAACTAAAAAAGAAACAGAAAATCTGAATAGACATGTAACTAAAAAAGATCAAGCTGCATTCAAAAAACTTCACACAAAGAAAAGCTCAAGACTAGATGGCTTTGCTGGTGAATTCTACTAAATATTTTAAAAGGAATGAACATCAACCTTTCTCAAACTCTTCTTAAAAACAGAAGAATATTTCTTTAAGGTATGTATTACACTGATACTAAAATGAGAAAAGGCTATCACAAGAAAAGTACAGACCAATATCTCTTATGAATAGAGACACAATTAGATAGTGGTAATCACTGCACAACTTTTGAATATATTAAAACCATTGAATTGTACATTTTAAATAGTTACACGTTACGATCTGTGACATATATCTCAAAAAAAGTTATAAAAAAAAAGGATATTCCTGGTAAGGAACTGTAGACACATTAAGAATGCCTAACACTTGCCAATATTTGGAAAGCTTACAAATTAAATTGAGTAAGTATTAAGTAAGTCTGGGGGTGGCGGGGTGGGGGTGGAGGCTATTTTGGGGATAATACATGTTTTTACTCTTCAGAGAAGGAACAGCTGTTAGATAAGAGTGGGAGGCACTAAGAAGAGAGAAATTAATTCCACTAGTTAGTAAAAACATCGGGTTGTCAACACAAAATTCCTTGGGAGTCACTTCTCTAAGCTGAGTTGGTATGAGTGGTCTGTGTCAGGTTAATGTGTTTTTAACTCATAAGACCAGACATTTAGGAATCTAAGGGCAATTCCCCATCCTACTGTATGAAGTATAAGGCAGGATGCACTCATATTTTCAGTGGATAATCCCCATGTGTTTGATAACCTGCTCCCACACACTATGTCTCTCCTGAGGCTGCAGCGTTGATGGTTCTGAGCTCTGCTTTTGGCAACAGAGCTTCCTGGGCTTTAATTCTGGTTCTGTCACCCAGGCTGTTTGAGTGCTCTGAGGCCCCAAGTATAGATGTGTTTAAAGTAAGATAATGGGGCTGGGCGTGGTGGCTCACACCTGTAATCCTAGCACTTTGGGAGGCTGAAGTGAGAGGATTGCTTGGGCCCAGGAGTTTGAGACAGCCTGGGCAGCATAGCAAGACCTTATCTCTACAAAAAAAAAAAGATGAATTAGCTAGCTTATGATTGTGCCACTACATTCCAGCCTGGACAGCACAATGAGATCCTAACTCTAGATAAATAAATAGGTAAATAAATAAAGAAAGAAAATGTCTGCAAAGTCTCTGGGCCATTGTGGACATTCAGTGAACAGTAGTATTATTGCTAATATATATATACATATATATATATTTATATATATATATATATATATATATATATATATATTTTTTTTTTTTTTTATGTAGAGTCTCACTCCATCATCCAGGCTGGAGTGCAGTAGCATGCATGCTCACGGCTACCCCAGTGTCGACCTTCTGGGCTCAGGCAGTCCTTCTGCCTCAGTCTTCCAAGTAGCCGGAACTACAGGTATGCACTACCACGCCTGGCTAATTTTTTTATTTATTGTAGAGATGAGGTCTCGCCAAGGTGCCCAGGCTGTTCTAACCATTTATATTTTATGAAATGAATACTTAAGAATAGAGCTCATGGCCAGGCGTGGTAGCTCAAGCCTATAATCCCAGCACTTTGGGAGGGCGAGGTGAGGGGATTCCCTGAGTCCATGGGTTTGAGAACAGCCTGGGCAACTTAGTGAGACCTTATCTCTACAATAAATTTAAAAAAAAATTAGCCAGGAGTGGTAGCACACGCCTGTAGTTCCAGCTGCTTGGAAGGCTGAGATGGAAGGTTTGCCGGAGTCCAGCAGGTCAAGGTTGGGGTGGTCGTGAGCATGCTACTGCACTCCAGCCTGGGCAACGGAGTGAGACTCCAACTCAAAAAAAAAGAAAAACAAAAAAAAAACCCAGCTCACATTGGGGTAAAGTATCATTTTAGGATGGCTAACTTATATTTCTTATAGCACCGTTTCATATCAATTGTAGGCAGTGGTTAAAAATGGCTGAAGACTCTATAAGGTCTGTAACCCCTGGTTTTCTCAGGAGACACTGGCTAACATGCTACATCCAGTAGTGCAGATGACCTATCCTGTGCTGGTCCTTCTGTCCTTTATGGCCACCAGCCCAGGAAAAGCCATGCCTGTCTTCCTCAACTCTCATTTAAGGATGTGGTTTTTTTTACTGGAAAAATTAATTCTCCCTGGTCTTGACATTCTGCCTTGGAAACATTTCTCTTCTGGTTGGGAAGGAAGCAGCATCATGGACAGAGCATGGGCACAGAATGGTGCATGCATAGTGGATACTGAGAAGCAGGGAGGTCAAAGGACTCTGAGCAGAGGTGGAGAAATGCCCTCCATGCCCGTTCTCAGGAGGAAGAAAAATTCACAGACCCACAGAGCCCCAAACAATATCCCTCTCCATCCCAGAGGCTTACCAGCACGCTGCAATTCCTGAATGGGGAGTATCCATCAAAACCTGGGACCCAGGAGATGAGAATGCTGTGTGCAGTGCTGTTGTGGATGCTGACAGCAGTTGGTGGGGAGGGAATTGCTATGTAAAAACAAAGACACGCACAAATGCAATTATAACCCACAGGAGGCCACAGCTACCAAACAAATGCTTTAATGCATATTCATGATCCTACTGTGTGTGGTCACCAGGCTGGGCACGTGCACTAAACAGGGACAAAGAATCGTAGTCCTGCTCTCATGGAGTACATAGCCCAGTGGGGAAAACCCACATTAACTAAAGTCAGAGTGCCCTGTGCCCAGAAGAGGGAGTGCCATGGGAGTTTGTGTGTGTGTATGTGTGTGAGAGTGAGTGTATGAGTGTGCGTGTGTATGTGTGTGTGTGTGTGTGTGTGTGTGTGTGTGTGTGTAGGGGGAGAAGTTTTCCTGCCAAACAAACAGTTAGAGTCAGTTCAAGCAAAAGAGCCAACTGCACCTGTTGGGGGCAGAGGGTGGCATGTGTGTGATGATGAGTGTGTAATGACCTCCTGCATGCGGGACAAGGATAACTATTTCAGTTAGAATCCAAGAATGGTATGAAATTTGCGGAATTTTATTTCTTTGTGCTAAATCTAATTATTAATAAAAATTACATTCATAATTGAAAATGGGCCACTGCCTTACTGAACTCTGGTGTGTCCAAGTGGCTCTCTGAGAAACCACCGCCATGTTTCTTAGCTTTGGCCCCCTTCCCTACCTTGGGGAGTTGAATATCTCTATCTCCTCTCTCCCTCTCATTTATTTTCTAAATAAATTATATTTTCTAATCTAAAAAAAAAAAAAATGATGGCTAACATGTTTGGGTGCTTACCATGTGCCAGACACTTTATGGACTTCATTTAGTCATTACTAGAACCCTATTAAAGAGGTAATCTTAAAATCCCCACTTAAAGATGAAGAAACTGAGGATCAGAAGAGTCAAAAACTTGCCAAAGGTCACAGAGAAGTTGTAATCAGTAGAATAGGGACCTGAACTCAGATCTGTATGATCCCAGAGCCTGTGTCCCTCAACAGGACACTGGAGGCCTGTCACAAGGGACAGCAGGCAGACGGATAGGGACCAGGAGTCTGGTCTAACACCTGACCAGCTGTAAGGCCAAGGGCACAGTTACATGCCCTGTCTCTACACAGTTCCCCCTTTTGTAAGTACGGATGGAAACAGAACAGCTACAAAGAGCTGTGGTAAGGAGTAAATGAGGTGAGCCACAGGCGAGACGCAGGGTAGGTGTGGCAGTAAAGGTGATGATGGAGTGAGCAGGAGAAGGAGGAAGGTAGGCTGGGACCCTATTAAGTGTTTACTGGGTACCACGTTCAGGAATTTTGGTTTTACTGGCAGACATGAAGCCTGGTGAATGGGGAACAATCAGTATATTGTTTGACTCATTTCCCTAAGCAGATTATTTATAGAACCGCCCTGAAGTATCTGCCTTTCCAGATCAAAATTTGACCATATATACCACAGTCATAACGTATTAGAAGAAGGGAGTCTTGGCGGCTTTGATATAAATTTTACAATAAAAGAAAGCCAAAAGCATAAGTTTTGAAACTAAGATTTAATCAAATAAAATCTTAGCTGAGGTTCTGCGTGAAGCTTAAAATTAAGGAAGTCCTTCTCATTTTATGCATTTTTAAATTTTAAGAAGTGTATGCTTTATGAAAATGTCCTTACACCCACTCATGAATTTCTGAAATTCCCAACATATCTTTTGAAAATTGTAATAAAGGGATCTGTAATGAAGGAAGGAAGTTATATACTTCCTCCAGTAATAACTTTCAGTTTGCTTATTTTTTTGTTCCAGTGAGCTTTTAGAAAATGCCCGACCCATGGCCTTTATCCAGTTGATTTGCTAAAACGAAAATCAGTACCTTTAAAAAGTACAGCTTCTTTTGTAATTTTGAATCTCCTTTTGCATATACTCAAACTTTAACTCCTATTAAACATGTTCTGCTTTTTCCTTGCATTGTTTCCCCAAGGATAGGATGAACCCAATATTTACTTCTCAATACCTAAACTAACATCAAATCATAAAATATAAAATGTGCTTGAAATTCTATGAGAGAGTAAGGAAACTGATTTGAAAAGAGGTAAAACAGTATTTACTTGCAGGTTTTCCTTTTCTTTCCAATTTCAGGTTTAAAGATCCTGGATCACACAGAAGGACAAGGTAGATGAATTGGATTGGAATGTCTCCACTAGCCTGGGGGCCTTCAAACACCTACTTTTCATTCTGTTACTATAATTCACTGCCAAGCAAGCTCAGCTGTAGTGAAATCCTAGCTCAAAGAGAGCGATTAGGAGAAAGAGAGATGGGAATGCTGGGTTCGGCAGAAGAACGAGTCTGACCCACTCTCTGCTCCCTACTTCCCTTCCCCGTAGTCAGTAGCTGGCAGAGACTTGTGTCAGGTCAAGGTGACCAGGGAAGGATAACGCCCATTTCCTAGATCATGCCCCAAGCCACCTCCACCCCAGGGCTCTTCAAGGGTTAATAGGGACTAGTTCAGGATGGAAGAGGGAAAAAGTAAAAATAGGAGCTAATATGATCAAGGGTAAACAGCTTAGCTTATTCTCTTCTCAGACTAAGGCAGAACTAAACGAGTGAATGTTTAACAAAATTTATGTGCCAGGCACTTGTGAGTGCTTTTATTTATATTAAATAATTAAGCGTCAACAATAAGTAGGGTCTATAATTATCTCCATTTTTCAGAGGGGAACACTGAAACCAAAGAGGTTTCTTGTCCAAGTTCACACAGAATGTCAGTGGGAAAGCCAACACTCAAACCCAGGTGGCTGGTACAGAGCTCATGCTGCACCCGGCCAGCTCCCAGTACACACACAAGGGACCCGGCCTTACTGCTTACCTTTGATGTTGATCTGCACACCCTTGGACACCGTCAGTCCTTTGTCATTGTGGGCTTCACAGCTGAAGACTGCTGCCTCTGACAGACCTGGAATGGAAGGAGATCCGTGAGACCAGCAGCAGAGAGACAGGTTGCTGTTTACCAAAACCCTACAGATGTCTTTGATTTTTTAAAAATTGTATTTCTTGATTCATGACTTCAGGCCCTAAGTGCAAAGTTAATTTAAAAGGTGTGCTGGCTATAGAAACAAAAAAGCTGGGGTTAAACCCTAGGCACCAAGAACAAGGCACCCAAAAGACAGTTGTTTTCATTTACTCAGTTCCTGAATGGTGAGTCATTAAGTAATGAAGCAGTATCATTCAGACTTTTAAATTACTGCTAATCAGGCTGGGTGCAGTGGCTCACCCCTATAATCCCAGCTCTTTGGGAGGCTGAGGTGAGATGATTGCCTGAGCTCATGGGTTTGAGACCAACCAGGGCAACTTGGTGTGCCCTCATCTCTACAATAAATCAAAAAATTAGCTGGGTGTGGTGGCGTATGCCTGTAGTTCCAGCTACTTGGAAGGCTGAGGAAGAAGGATCACCTGAACCCAGTAGGTCGAGGCTGCGGTGGCCATGAGCATGCCACCGCACTCCAGCCTGGGTGACAGAGTGAGACTCTGACTCAAAACAAACAAATAAATAAAAATAAAAATAAATAACTGGAGCCGGGCTCGGTGGCTCAGCCTGTAATCCCACGCCTTTGGGAGGCTGAGGTGAGTGGATTGCCTGAGCCCGTGGGTTCAAGACCCGCCTGGGCAACTTGGCGAGACCTCATCTCTACAATAAATCAAAAATTAGCCAGGCATGGTAGCACGCGCCTGTAGTTCCAGCTACTTGGAAGGCTGAGGCGGAAGGATCACCGGAGCCCAGCAGGTGGAGGCTGCGGTGGCCAGGAGCGGCCACAGCACTTCAGTCTGGGTGAGACCCCAACTCAACAACAACACAAATAAATAAATAAAAATAAATTACTGGGAATCACTGGGCCCAGTATCAAGAAAGGTGGGCTCTGAGAGGTTTAACTAGTCCTGTTGCTTTGCCCCCAATATACACTATGCCACTGAAAGTAACATGGCAAAAGCCACAATATTAAATATTTCAGATGATCTGTTGTATCCTTTTTTAATAGTTAAAAACTGGTCAGATTCACAAGGAATTATTATATAAATGCAAGCCATTATAAGTAACTGAAGAGAAGGCACTAGTGCTAAATGAAAAATTCTATCATTTTAGAAGTTTGAAGGCATCTTAAAAATTTTTACAAGTGATTAAATAGAAAGGAAAAGACATTACCCAGATCTTGATTTCTAAATACCATTCTCCAATAAAAGGCACCAGGGCTCCCTGGAGAAATGACTGATTCTTAGATGGGGCAGAAAACATATAAGATGAGCCAGGAATGAACTATAATACAAACTCAAGTGCAACACATACACACACAGACAATAATGGGGTATGCCAAAGAGACACAGAAGCTAGCTCAGAATTCCCATAGCAAAAGCTGGAACAGTGTGAGCAAGAAAATAAATGAAGTAGCACTGGATTATAATCCAAAGTATAAAACAAATATCTATGAGTCTCTACTAATATAAATAAACAGGGGAAAATACACAAATCTCCCCTGCAGAAGAATTCCAAGTAGTTTATGTGGATGTTCCCCATTTAAGGCGGTGAAGTATTACTACTCACTCCTTAAGCATGGGCTGCACATTGTGACTTCCTTCCAACAAGTACAGTTTGGAAAGGAGAAAAAAAGAACACTTTTGAGTGAGAAACTGACCAACAGTACCTCAGATGATCAAGGTTCAAGCCAACAGTGATAAGACATGTTGATCAGATGTGATGAAAATGGTACTTCCTCTCTTCGGTCTTCCTCCCCAAAACATAAAGCCCCAATAGAGTCATGAGAAAAACAGCAGTCAGGTCCAAATTGTGAGACATTCTACAAAACACTTCAAAACTGTCAAGGTCATTAAAAACAAGAAAAGTTTGAGAAACTGGTCGGCTGCAGTGGCTCACACCTGTAATCCCAGCACTTTGGGAGGTGGAGGTGAGAGCATTGCCTGAGCCCAGGGGTTTGAGACCAGCCTGGGCAACTTGGTGAGATCTTGTCTCTACAATAAATCAAAAAACTAGCTTGGTATGGTGGTGTGCGCCTATGGTTCCAGCTATTTGGAAGGCTGAGTTGGAAAGACCGCTTGAGCCCAGTAGGTTGAGGCTGCGGTGGCCCTGAGCGTGCCACTGTACTTGAGCCTGGGTGACAGTGAGATTCCAACTCAAAAAAAAAATTTTTAAAGTTTGAGAAACTGTCATAACCAAGAAGAGCCTAAGGAGACATGATGACTAAATGTATTGTGGCATTCTGGATGAAATGCTGGAACAAAAAAAGGACAGTAGGTAAAAACTCAGAAAATCTGAATAAAGTATGGACTTCAGTTAATAATAATCCCAGCACTTAGGGAGGCCAAGGCAGAAGGACTATTTGAGCCCAGGAGTTGGAGACCAGACCTCGTCACTACAAGAAATCAGTCAGGCGTGGTGGCACATGGCAGTAGCTTCAGCTACTTGGGAGGCTGAGGCAGAAGGATTGCCTAAGTCCAGGAGTTTGAGGCTGTAGTGAGACGTCAATGTGCCACTGCACTCCAGCCTAGGAGACCCTGACTCAAATAACAACAACAACAACAACAAAAACAATAATAATAAAATGAGTATTAGATTATCAATGGTAATGAATGTAACTATACAGATGTTAAAAGTAAGAGAAAGTGGGGATAACATTTATAGGGACTCTCTGTACGATTTTCCTTGTTTTTCTGTAAATCTAAAGCTAGTTTAAAATTTAAAAGGTTTTTTTTAGGTACAGCTACACAATATATACTATTTAGCTGAATCTGGACACTTCTATATCTATGGCACACAAAATTATCATCTGGCATGCAGTATCATCTTCATGAGCTTGAGAAAGAGAAAACTGTTGAAAAGATGCCAACATTTACTTCTTACCTGAAAAGTTCATTTTGTTTTCTTCTATCTGGCTACTTGTGTAGGAAATTTTTCATCTGCTATTTTTAAGTTCAAAGCTTGTCCCTAGAGGAGTAATAAAATATTTGAAAAATGAAAGGAAAAAAAACTACCCTGGGAAGCACAGCAAGCATCAGCCCAGAAAGGTCGTTCCAGGTCAGATGTCTGTGTGGCCAAGACTGTACCAGGGCAGGGACCAAGTGGTCACGGTGTGACAGAGGACATGTGTCTGGGAGAAATTGTAAGAAAAATGAAAGTCTGATCCCTTTTATATTAGAACTTCTCTTGAGTGGTTAAATATGTACAAAAAAATCGGCGCTGGTACATTTTTGTTATTTTTCATTTAGATGGAAGGTTGTTACTGGTGTCTGAGTTTTTATAGAGACAAGGTCTCACTATGCTGCCTAGGCTGGTCTTGAATTCCTGGGTGCCAGTGGTCCTCCCACCTTGGCCTCCTAAAGTGCTGGGATTACAGGAGGTGTGAGTCACCATGTTAAAATGATTATACTTATTATTAGGCTGCAACTGATCAAAACAATGTAAGTACTTTTTTTTTTTTTTTTGAGTTGGAGTCTCACCCTGTCGCCCAGACTGGAGTGCAGTGGCCACTCCCAGTCACTGCAGCCTCTACCTGCTGGGCTCCGGCGATCCTTCCGCCTCAGCCTTCCAAGTAGCTGGAACTACAGGTGCGTGCTACCACACCTGGCTAATTTTTTTGATTCATTGTAGAGTTGAGGTCTCACCAAGTTGCCCAGGCGGGTCTCGAAACCGTGGGCTCAGGCAATCCACTCACCTCAGCCTCCCAAGGCACGGGATTACAGGCTGAGCCACCGAGCCCAGCTGTAAGTAATTCTTAAGCATAAGGATAATTTTATTGGAAGGGCAATTCCTTTGCTGGAAAAAATGTGGAATTTTCTGTCTGTACGGTGGTCTAGAAATTTCTTAACCCCAAGATAATGTACCACAGCAGCCATTCTCAAAATGTGGTCCAGAGATGACAGGGGATTCCAGACACCCTTTTAGTAGTCCACAAAGTGAAAACTGCTTCATAATAATAATATATTATTTTTACTTTTCACGCTTATTCTCTCAGAAATATATGATGGAATTTTCCAAAATAATTTCCTGGAGGCTGTATGAGGTGTGATGATGTCATAGCTCTATTAGCCGATGGAATATGTGCTTGTGTATTTTTGTCTTAAAAATTTTTTGCTTTAATTTCTAATTCAGTAAATATAGATAGATATAACCCACATAAACAAAAACTCTTTGGTTCTTGATTAATTTCTAAGCCTCTAAAGGGATCTTGAGACCAAGACATTCGAGAATTGATGTCCCATAGTGATGCTAGAAAGGCGAAAGACCTCTTTTTTTCTTTTTTTGAGTCAGAGTCTCATTCTGTTGCCTAGGCTGGAGTACAGTCACCCAATCATGGCTACTGCAGCCTTGACCTGCTGGGCTCAGGCAATCCTTCCAACTCAGCCTTCCAAGTAGCTGGAACTACAGGTGTGCGCCACCACACTTGGCTAATCTTTTAATTTCATTGTAAAGATGAGGTTTCATCATGTTGCCCAGGCTGGTCTCGAACTCCTGGGCTTAGGAAATTCTCTCACTTCAGCCTCCCAAAGTGCTGGAATTACAGGTGAGAGCTACCGCATAAGGCCCTTTTTTTCTTTTGTAAAGCGAGAAAGATGAAACAGGAGGGAGAAAAGAACTGACTAGGCCTCTGGACTTTGGGCACTTGTCAGGCATCAATTTTAAGAAAGGATGAGGAACCAGACACTGATCTTTCTAAGGGGCCTATCTCTGCCAGTCACTGTTCAACAGGGAGGCCTCTGCCACTGTGATTTCCATGCTAATGTATCACTTTTAAACTTCCAGGTCCTAAGTTCCCAAATGAGATGCCCATTTCACCAGGTTCCATGAACTTGCAAAACTTGGCTTCTTTTTAGAAAAATCAACCTTGGTTTAAGTAAAAGATACAAGGAGTTTCTAACTAACATATTATTTATATACCGGAGGAGACA